TATGGCCGACGATGTCCCAAGAAGAAGGGCCCGTAAAATGGCCCACGTCTTGAAACGAGAAGCTCACCGCGTCGTCCTCGCGCTAAATCGCAGGGCGGCAAGCCTGAAAGAAGGTCGAGGTGACAAAACCTCCACACTTGGGGTTGGGAAACGACAACCGTCAGAAACTGGCCAAAAGTCTAGCCCAACGTCGTAAATTGACGAGGGGACCCCCAAGATTAGGGAAAGTCCTTCACCAGAGGTTGATAAATCCCTCCCGGACTCCCTATCGGCCGAGGGAATAGCAACCCCCTCGGCCGAGCCTGAAAGAAGGATCCCACACTCCTCACTCAAAGAAGTAAAGAGGAAGTCAAAAAAGGAAAGAAAATAGGGAAAGCCGAAGGACTGTGCACTCACCGGCCTCGAGCGAAATCCCCACAAAGAAAAGAGGGAAAGGAAAAGGATCGTGCACTCGCCGCCCTCGAGCGAAATCCCCACAAAGAAAAGAGGGAAAGCCGAAGGACCGTGCACTCGCCGGCCTATGCATTATGGACGAAGCAAGACCATACATGCGGATCAGATGGACGCTCAAGCCTGGTCCTTCATCATCAGACCGGCTCATCAGCGCCGTCCACATCATAAGACGGGCGTCCCACGTCGTCCTTCATTTTTAGACGGGCATCCAACACTATCCTTCATTTTCAGATGGGCTCCTCACCGCCGTTGTCCTCAAAGGACAAGCGTCCAACGCCATCCTTCATCTTCAGACGGACGCTCAGGTCTGGTCCTTCATCATCAGACCGGCTCATCAGCGCCTTCCTCACCATCAGACGGGTGTCCAACGCCATCCTTCATCTTCAGACGGACGCTCAGGCCAGGTCCTTCATCATCAAACTGGCTCATCAACGCCATCTTCATCATCAGACGGGCGTCCCACACCGTCCTTCATTTTCAGACGGGATCCTCATCGCCGTCGTCCTCAAAGGGCAGGCATCCAATGCCGTCCTTTATCTTCAGATGGACGCTCAGGCCTGGTCCTTCATCATCAGACCGGCTCATCAGCGCCTTCCTCATCATCAGACGGGCATCCAACGCCGTCCTTCATCTTCAGACGAATGCTCAGGCCTGATCCTTCATCATCAGATGGGCTCATCAGCGTCGTCCTCATCATCAGACGGGTGTCCAACACCGTCCTTCATCTTCAGACGGACGCTCAGGCCTGGTCCTTCATCAACAGACCGGCTCATCAGCGTCGTCCTCATCATCAGACGGACGTCCCACGACGTCCTTCATTTTCAGATGGGCTCCTCACCGTCGTCGTCGTCAAAGGATAGGCGTTCAAAGCCATCCTTCATCTTTAGACGGACGCTCAGGCCTGGTCCTTCGTCATCGGACCGGCTCTGCCGTCCTTCATCTTCAGACCGGCATCAAAAGCCTGGGCTTTGATCATCGAACCGACTCCGCCATCCTTCGTCTTCAGACGAGCGTCTAAGCCTGGTCCTTAATCATCGAATCGGCTCCACCGTCCATCATTTTCAGACGAGCGTCCAAGCCTGGTCCTTCATCATCAGACCGGCTCCGCCGTCCCACATCTTCAGACGAGCGTCCAAGCCTGGTCCTTGATCATGGGACTGGCTCCGCCTTCCTTCATCTTCAGACGAGCGTCCAAGCCTGGTCCTTCATCATCGGACCTGCTCCATCGTCCCTCATCGTCAGACAAGCGTCCAAGCCTGGTCCTTAATCATCGAACCGGCTCTGCCGTCCTTCATCTTCAGACGGGCGCCAACACCTTGTCCTTCATCAAAGGACGAGCGTCATCAGCGATGTCCTTCATCTTCAGACCGGCATCACAAACCTAGTCCTTCATCATTCGACTAGCCCATCAGCGCCGACGGCCACATATCAAGATGGGCCCTTCGGCCTCAACGTGATTATTTATCTCAAGACCGGCTCCCAGTGCCGAAGTCTTGTTATAGCAATCAGGCTCGCTACTCCATTCCCGGATAGCGACCATCGCCTTTATATGACGGTCGGCCCATCAACACCGACGTCCTCATATCACGACCATCCTCTCGACTACAGCGTGATTATCTACATCAAGACTGGCTCCTCAGCGCCGAAGTCTTGATCTAGTGATAGGGCTCGCCATTCCCTTCCAGGATGGTGACTGTCGCCTTTATAGGACGATCTGCCCATCAGCGCCGATGTACTCATATCACGACCGTTCCATCGGCTACGTCGTGATTATCTACATCAAGATTGGCTCCTCAGCGCCGAAGTCTTGATCTAGCAACGGTGCTCGCCATTCCCTTCCAGGATGGTGACCGTCGCCTTTATATGATGATCGACTCATCAGCACTGACGTCCTCATATCATGACCGGCCCCTCGGCCTCGGCGTGTATTTATCTCAAGACCGACTTCCTCAACGCCGAGAGTCTTGAGCTAGCAATCAGGCTCGTTATTCCCTTCCCGGATAAGCGACTGTCGCCTTTATATAACGATCGACTTCATCATCGCCTCATCATCATTTATTGGATCGGCCCCTCATCGCCGACGTCATCAGATCTCGAATGGCCCATCGACCTCAGCGTGATTCTATATCTCAAGACCGTCTTCCCCAGCACCGAGCGTCTTGAGCTAGCGATCGGGCTCTCCATCCCTTCCAGGATGGGGACCATCGCCTTTTATATGAAGATCGGCTTCATCAGCGCCTCATCATCATTTATTAGACCGACTCCTCATCGTCGTCGTCCTCACATCACGACCGGCCCCTCGGCCTCGACGTGATTATTTATCTCACGACCGGCTTTCCCAGCATCGAACGTCTTGAGCTAGCGATTGGGCTCGCCATCCCTTCCTGGATGGTGACCATCGCCTTTATATGACGATCGGCTTCATCATCGCCTCTTCATCAGATTTCGGACTGGCTCTTCACCATCGTCGTCCGCACATCACGACCGGCCCCTCGGCCTCGGCCTCGGCCTCGGCGTGATTATTGATCTCAAGACCGGCTTTCCCAGCACCGAACGTCTTGAGCTAGCGATCGGGCATGCCATCCCTTCCTGGATGGTGACCATCGCCTTTATATGATGATCGACTTCATCATCGCCTCGTCATCATATTTCGGATTGGCTCCTCATCATCGCCATCCGCACATCACGACCAGCCCTTGGCCGCGGCGTGATTATCTATCTCAAGACCTCAGCATCGAGAGTCTTGAGCTAGCAACTGGGCTCACTATTCCCTTCCCGGATAAGCGACCATCGCCTTTATATGACGATCGGCTTCATCATCTCCCCGTCATCATATTATAGGATCGGATCCTCATCGCCGTCCTCACATCACGACCGGCCCCTCGGCCTCATCGTGATGATCTATCTCAAGATCGGCCCCTCTGCACTGAAGTCTTGAGCTAACAACTGGGCTTGCCATTTCCTTCCTGGATAGCGACCGTCACCTTCATATGATGCACGACTCTTCACCACCGTCGTCCTCATATTCAGACAGACGTCCACCAACCCGTCCTCATGTTCAGACAGACGTCCATCGCATCGTCCTCATATTTGGACCGGCTCATCAGCGCCGTCATCCTCATATTCAGACAGGCATCCCCTCAGCAGACAGACATCGCTGCAGCTCCACACCCAGGCCAAAGGGTTCACCCCTTTTGCTTCATTTTGGGGGCATCCGGTGTACTCTTTTTCCCTCATTAGGATTTTTACCACATGGTTTTTCCTAATGAGGTTTTTAATGAGGCATCTCCCCATTGTGGATCAAAAGGTGTCGACCCTCGCCCCTCTGATTAAGACATGCATTACTCTACTTCTTTTCACCTCATTACATGTGCCTTAAGAAGTGGCGGGTTGGGGGACTGTATCGGCCTCCACACGCTTTAAAAGATTCCTGAGTAAACAAAAGTTCAAAAAATGACAAGGATACCATGTAAAACCGCACCGACACCCCAACGTCCACAAGCGTATGATCCATCAACTAAAGTCAAAGGCACAAAGACAGGACATTCATCGTCCACAAAACCAAGGGCGCACAACGTCCTCTGGTCCAGGACCCCCATCGTCCTCAAAGCCATAAACGCCAAACTACGAATGATTTCACTTCGGCCTGGAGCACCAAAAGCAATCATGGTGCCTCCTCGTCCAGAAGCACAAAAGGCAGTCAACAACGGCCAAAGAGAGGTCATGTCACTCTCACGACTAAGACTGTGCATCGTACTCGAAATGAAGGACATTCACCGTCCGCAGAAACGAGGTACCCACGATGGCTCAATTATGGCACCGCCTCGGCCAGGAACGCCAGAACTCCCAGGTAATCCTCTGTCGGTCAAAAGCATCGAAACAACCAGAATCTACTCCCTTCCACTTCGTCTACATCTCAGCTCAGAGAGTGGGGGACTCCTGATGGAGTATATGGGTCCAGACCCCATGACCCACATACTCAGAAGACTAAGACGAAGCACAGCTGTCACCTAGTGGGTCCTCCGTCGGCCAGATGGCCCTCCATCGGCCAAATAGATATCAACTCGGAATATGAACCAGAAGCTAGTAGAACCCGAGGTACCTCCATCGGCCGGGGCTCTGTCGGCCAGGGCTCCGTCAGCCAGGCCTTCGTCGGCGAGAAGGAACTCACATAACTAGACTTCTATAGTCGATATTTCGAGTGTATTCAACCCAATAGATGTCTTATATTGTAATGTGCCTCCCAAGCCCGCCCATATTTTTCCTATAAATACTCCCTATGAGAGCCATGTAAAAGGTTGAAAATCATTTTATACATATCACTTTATCTCTCTAGCTCTTCATTCTCTCTAAGAGTTTGTACTCTATCACATACTTTAACAACGTCAGAAAAACTTTGAGGATAGAGGTAAGAAGCTATTTAGTAACTTTCTTCCTTCATTTGGATTTCATATGACTTCTATACCGTATGAGGAACCCCTAGAAAATTTCTACATGTTTAGAAATGTAGAATGAGGGGTAGGGTCCGAAGATAGTATGAGGATATACTTTTGGCCTGAGTCTTTTCAACCGATGCCTCACCGCCCGCTGAGCCCGTTCATCCCATCCCAGTCCCCATAAAAGATAGAAAACCCTAGGTAATCAATCTTCTGAGACGGAGAAGATGGTGTTCTACTTCAAAGCCCGTCCCGAAGCGGGAGATTACACCATCTTCATGGGCCTTGACAAATATGAGAACGAAGATCTCATCAAATACGGCTTTCCTGAAGATATCTGGTTTGTTCACGCTCAACCTCTTATCCCTTTCATCCTTCAAACAATTCATACGTCTCCTACTCACGAACCGCACATGTCGCGCTCCTTGTTTCTAGTGGATCATATCTGTTTCAATTTCAATGTTTTTTTAGTGTATTCGTTTATAATCCATTTCCTTTTTATGTTTCTGTTTTGCATTTGAATATGAGATGCTGTTTAAAATTTAAAATAAAACTAAACAAGTTTGGTGAATTTGTGGTTTTTCTCTCTTATTCATCACAGGTGGTCAATGTCGAGGTTCACAGTTGTTCAGTTTATATCTGTTGTTTATTATAGCAGTCAGTAGCTTGCATTTACTTAATTTAGAGCGTGCTTGAAGAGTACTGGTCATGGTAATATCTTTTATATGGGGTTTCAATGCATTGTGGCATTGAGTATTTGAATGAAAGACCTTGTCAGAGCTGGAACTCTTATTCATGAACTTATGTTTTAAACTCTGGGAATTATGAAACGGATAGAAAACTTAAAAGTAGGGCTCCTTTATGCCTATAAGTCAAAGCACTGGATTGTTGACTATTGCTAAGTTTGTTGCAATTGGCTTGTATATAGTAACACTTTAAATTTGTGTCTGGATGTGGTTGCATATGGCTTTCTTGTTTTCTGTGCATTTTATTAATTTGACATTGGATAGTCAGATATATCGCTAGATTATAATTTGTAATGATTAATATTTCATTGGATGCTGGTTGCTTTGCATGAAAAAAATCTATTATGCGATATAGGTTCCATGTTGACAAGATGTCTTCAGCTCATGTTTATTTGAGGTTGACAAAGGGTCAGAGCATGGATGATATACCTGAAGGTGTACTCGAAGATTGTGTACAACTGGTGAAGGCAAATTCCATCCAAGGTACATCCTGCATAAATTATATCATCATAAATTATATCTTTTTTTCAAATTCAATTTGATGCTCTCCTGATGCATGAACTGTGCAGTTTCTTTTTCTGTTGCATTGCTTTAGACAAACCAAGAAAACCTATCAAGGTCTTCATCTGATATTTATTTTGTGAATATGAGATCAGTAGAAAATTAGTTATGTTTGAACACTGCATTCGTGCACACTGTATTTTATGTTTTTTCAAGTGCATCAAATTCCAATCTTATTTATTTACTGTCTTTCAAAAACTCTAAATGCTGTTTTGGATTAGTAATATTTAATTTTTAGATAGTAATTACAGCGTACCAAAAGCTCAATCAAACAGTAAAAACGAAGTGAATATGATAATAGTTTGCTATTCGAATAATAATAACTAATAAGATAATAAAAGGGAGTTTGGTTGACCACATGAATGATTAGAAGGACAAATAAAATGGTCATATGGATTATTTATTTATTTACCTGCTTGCTTGCTTGTAACTTGTTTACTTTTTTTGTGCTGATGCACTTGTATCTATTCAACCTAGTTTTACTCAATAATATAATTTTAGGTATGCTGCAGTTTTGCGCCTTTGATGTTGATCTGTGTGACAGGAAACAAGCTGAACAATGTTGATGTAGTGTACACCCCTTGGCAAAACCTGAAAAAGACTTCTTCTATGGAGGTTGGCCAAGTTGCTTTTCACAACACCAAAATGGTGAGCTGCACTGTAATTACTACTTTGCCTGCATGTGTAGAATCAATAATAATGTAAACATTTTTCAAGTTTACCATAGATGTTAAAGTTAACTTGGTGTTTTAGGTGCGTACTATTAGAGTGGAGAAGAGAATTAATGATATAATAAATAGATTGAACAGGACAAAGGTTGAAAGAAAGACTGACTTGAAGGGTAAGCAATCTACATAAGTTTGATATAATATTATCCCTCTGTCCCACGAGGCCATGACGACAGTCCACTCTCTTTTCGCACATGAATTGAGAAATTGTTGTTAATTTTGATAGAATAATTTTTATTATATGCAATTCCCTTGTTACTGTTGTTACAGTTAACAGTTACCTATGTAGGAGTATATTTTATTTTTATTTTAGATGATTAAGCAGCAGTGAACTTGAAACCAAAAAATGAAATGCATACCGATAAGAAAAATGAATATCTTTGGGAGACGTACCAAAATAGAATAGTGGACTATCTTTGTGGGCTAGATGTAGTAATATTTCTCAAAACTGACATTGATGGGTTTTTAACCGCTCCTTTGTGTCTTTTGGATTAGCTGAGCGTGAGGCCGTAAGTGCTGCTGAAAAGGCAGAGAGGAAGCATCAGCTGAGGGAGAAAGTGAGTTCCTCCATTGCGTTTCTTAGAAACTTTCACCAATTTCAGTATCAGGAAAATTGTTTTATGTTATTGCTGCATTGTTGGTTTCATTGAATATTTAATTCAGTACATAGTCTTTATAGTCTAAAAATTCTTGGTGGTCTGTTTTGGGGTTGTCCCAAGGTATCTATAAAAATGGAAACAGTTTTTCATCTATACCACTTTTTTATGTGTGGCTGCACTAGGGTAGCGTTACACTGTTATGCATAACCTGGTTTCTCTTACTCCCTCCCAAGGCTGAGTAGAAGGTGCTACTTTTTCGTTTTTTTGTTTATACTCTTGTTCCAAAAAAGGTCATGTTTCAAGACCATATTTCCTAAAAAAGTCATATTTCAAAAAGTAAAAGATAATTTCCATTTAACTTCATGTAACATCTCCCAAAAGTTTGTTCAATTAGTTTATGTTGTAAATTCAGTCTAAAACACAACTAAGATTTTTAGTAGGATTCATCACTTACAAGCTATACATGACGTTTTCCGTTTAAAATATTCCAAGCAAGTTAAGCCTGATAGTTAAACAGGTAAACTCTTTTGTAATGCTGATGATTTTTGCCCGAATGTTGTGTTGTACACATCTCTCGTGATTTAGAAGGATATATTTTTAAAAAGAATAATTAATTGCTGCGGATGTAGAAACGTCGTGAGGAGATGGAACGGCTGGAAAAGGAGAAGCATGCTGAGTTGAGGAGCTACAAAAATCTGATGGTGGCTGAGAAGATGACATCAAACAAAAACATTGCTTCAACTGGAAAATCGCTGCAAGAACTGGAAGAAGACTTCATGTAATGGCCCCACCCTGGTATTCTGTGATAACTCAACTTTTTATAGCAAGGTGTAGAAATAATTAGTTGGAAAAGGAGGCCAAGGAAGAATTGTGGAGTATAGTAGGGGATGTGTGGGGATGATTGGGCAAGTTTATGTTGCTTTGTGTAACTTTGATCTCTTTGCTGATCTTATAGTTTATTTTAAATCTACTCCTGACATTGAACAAAGAAGATTCTTCTATGACACTACAAAGAATCAAAGATGATGCTGATTTTTCGTCTCTTGCTCTTTGTGGGTTGAATTCTGCCAGCCTTTTCTATCCTACCCCCGCCGATAATGACCAAGTCTTGGTACACATCGCATGTGTCCTCTTTTAGAGATCTTCTCATATGACATTCATTTACAGTTGGACAACATTTTGTCATTCAGAATAATACATCTTAAATGGACAACATTTACAATTGAGTCCATTAGCGTTTACCTGCCATGTCAGCAAAGTCACGCATGTGTCAGCCCAATTACAGTGACTTTGCAGACACGCCGTGCATGTGGAAGCTCATGTAGTCGTTTCTTGATGACATGGCACACAAGTGGACAACCACATGTGCGTCACATCATGGGTGACCTGCTGACATAGCAGGTAACCTTTAATTGACTCAATTGAACATTTTTTCAAAGTTCGGGGAATTGATTGTTTTTTAAAGAGTTTTTGCCACTTTTAGTCCTCGACTATTGTGTCAGTGACACTTTTGGTACTCGACTTTTAATTGACTATAGTGTGAGAGACACTTTTGGTATCCATCTTTGAAAATTTCCGTATTTAGTCCTTCGACTTTTGTAAAAGTGACACTTTTGGTCCTTCAACTATCACAATAGAGACATTTTTAGTCCTCCACTTATTGTGTCAAAATTATAGTAGGACTAAAAGTGTCAATTTGATAATACTCAAAGGACTAAATGTGGGAAACTTGAAAGTAGAGGACTAAAAGTGTCTCTCGCACAATAGTTGAGGACTAAAAATGGAAAAATTAAAAGTCATGTACCAAAAGTGTCACTGACACAATACTCGAGGGACCAAAAGTGGCAAAAACTCTTTTAAAAAGTATGAGGACCTAATTGACGTTTTCGTGATAGTATGAGAATCAAATCGGCATTTTTTTCAAAAATTAATAAAAAATAGTAAAACCCATAAAAAAATATGGATGTCTTTCCCGCTGCCTCTACCGCCTCTCAGCACCACCACTTCCGATCGATGAAAAATGCCATTTTTTGTAAAAAAAATGGCATTTTTTGTAAAAAAATGTCATCTTTTCTGAAAATGCCAAAAAATGACATTACTACTCTTGATAATGCCAAAATTTTCATTGAGATTGCCATAAATAAAGCATTACTAATACCCCGATGGCATTTTTCTCCGATGATTAGAGCTGGTGGTGTTGGGGTGGCAAATGTGGAAGTGTATTTTTATATGTTTTTTTAATTTTGTTTTTAAAAAAATTGACTTGTTTTTGTAGATGTTTTATTAAATTTTTACAATTGTTTTAAGATTTTTTTTTATGATTTTATTATGAATTAAAACATTTCAAAAGCTACAAGAGTATATATGTCCAAACACACATAAATAGCCCTACTAGAGAATTTAAAACAATGTAGGGGGTGTTTGGAATTGGTTCTGCTTCTGCTTCTTTTTTAAAGCAGAATCAGAATTAGTTTTCATAAGCTGGTCACCCCTAGATTCTAAAAAATTGATTCTAGGAGTACATTAGAGCACTAGAATCACTTTTGCACTTTCACCCAAACATTTCAACTTCTGCTTCTGCTCCTTGGAGCAGAAGCAGTTTTAAGAATCAGATCCACCCGTAGTAGGGCTGGGTCTGAAAAACCGGAAACCGAAAACCGAAAACCGAATCAAATTAAACTGAACCGCGACCAAATAAAACCGAACCGCTAAAAACCGAAACCGAATGTAAAAAACCGAACCGAACCGTAGTAGTTTGGTTCGGTTTTGGTTTTTACCCTTCAAAACTGAACCGAACCGAACAAACCGAACATAAATAAAATATGAAATTTTATTTGTTAAATTTAAACATTAATCTTAATATCATCAATAATCTTTGAATTTCTTGTGCTAGAGAAATAATGTTTATGCTATGTTTAGTTTAGTTTATAAATGCATTTACACATTCATTGCCCATAATAATGTAGCTATATTAATCTATTATGTCTTTTATGTATGTATGTTGCAATTTGTTGCATGATTATATGTTCTTACTAGTTATTAGTAGTAATTAACTTTTATTTTTATGTAACTTAATTCTTTTTTGTAACTTAACTTTTTTATATTGATAAAACAAATATATATTCATCTCGGCTAAATCACACAGGACGTATGTATTCATAAACGTTTTTCAAACTAGTCACAAACATTGTAAATTAAGAATAGATACACACTTTTCTCTCCCGCATACTCATATAATTCAAGACATATTTGTTTATTATTATTTTCTTCATTTGTTCAAGTATGCTTGCATTTTTATGTAATATGTTTGATCCCTCCAACTTTTATATCAATTTTAAATTAAATGATAAATATTTAGTAAAAACCGAAAAAATCGAAACCGAATCGAAACAAACCGAACCAATCAAATCGTGGTTTGAAGTTTTAGAGTGTAAAACCGAAACCGAATCGAACTTTTACTTTGATTCCTTATTTGTGATTTTTGGCCCTCTTTTAGACTTTTAGTCTTATTTAGGCAATTCACTCATTTTGAAAAAGCCAAAATATATTCCAATTTCCATGTGCTCAAACATAGTGATGGACCCAGTCTAGTCCGATTTCAGGCCTGGTACCGGCCGGTCCCGGTTCGAAGAAAGTGGGGCCCGGTACAACGGTACTGACCCGGTTTGATACGGTATCGATTTTGAGTCCAAGTACTCGGGCGGGTCAAGGGCCGGTCCTGGGTCGGTTTTTTTTTTTTAATTTCTTAATTTATACAACAAGTGGACAATAAAAATGAAATGTAGAATACAATTAAAACATCAAATACGTTTGGTAATCGTCGGAATCTCCGTCAGCGTCGATTGTCGTTTTCTCCATGAAATGGTGGTCGGAGGTGAATGCAAAGTTCTTGATTTCTATACCGGGTTTTCAACCAATTGTGGAAATAAATGAGCGTTTCAAGAGATTGTGTGTTCAATCTCATTCTATAATTCGTAGGACATTGCCAGCTTCACTAAATCTTATTACACAGCTAAAATCGAGAATGACAACACTTGTTTCGCCATCTTCGATAAAATCAAGAACACTCATTCTTTGTCCTTCCACCATTTGAGAACGTCAAAGTCTTCTCATTCTTCAACTCATAAGAAAACGTTAAATATAAAAAAAGCTCGCTAATCGAGCTTTGTGCAACAACGGGAGTTGATTTAGTTTTTTTTTCCATAAGATTACCAAATGTACATATGAAATTTGATTTTCCTTTAGAAGAAGAAGTAGTTGGTTTCGGGGGAGGGGGTACGTTACCATAATGTCCATGAAACTCATTACATAATGTATGAAACCAGTTACCAACCTCTTTGCCAAAAAAAGTTACTGACCCCGTTGAATTGCGCTTGAACATTTATGGGTTTTTCTTCGTACATAGGGAATGCACTAAAGAAACAAGTATAATAGTATTCTAAACATGATTGATAAGTAGCAAGTTTGAAATGAGGATCAAGAACAAAGACAATATCACATATATGCGGAATTAAGTTATAATATTTTAAAAAATTTTATTTCATGAAAGAACAAAAATAATGAACATAAAGGGATTCAGAAAATTCTTTGAAAGCACCAGCAAGATTTACAACTTCAACAAAAAGTTGGTTTGCCGCAGGTGTATAAACATGAGAAAAAGTTTAAATTGCGTTATGAAAATAAACCAAAATAGTGCAAAATTTTTCCATAATGTTGATCTCAACCGAGTTCTATAATATAGTTACAAGTTTTTAAAAAAAGCAGGAAATGGTCCTTAAATCGAGAAGTACAAAAATTAATTTATAAGTACTATTCCGGTGAATAGACAAATCGTTAGGAAAATCACAATATCTAACACGTCTATATTTCAAATATTCACGCCATTGTTTTTTAAGTTGAGCCAAATAAGTCTAATACCCCTTTCACGTTCTCCATCACATTTTCTAATGCGGTTAAACCGTCTTTTACACATAAATCAAGAATATGACATGCACAATGCCGATGAATAAATGTACCCGTCAAAGTAGAAGGACTACATAATTCACTCAATTTTGGAATAACATCAATATTATTAGCATTATCAAAACCACTAGCAAACACCTTATCAATCAAATTATTTTCACTTAAAATACGCTCAATAATAATATAAATATTATTACCGGTGTGTCGGTCATTAAACTCTCGAAAAGCAATAACGCGTTTATGCATTTCCGAATTATCATCAATATACTGTGCAGTCACAGCCAAATAATACAAATGATGATACATATTCTCCCATATATCACTACAAATACTAACACACACATCAAAGTTCGTGAAAGACATTTTAAGTCCTTTTCCAAATAATATTGTCTTGTAACTTTTTTTTTTAATTATTTTGCGAATATAATTTCGAAATTGAGGATTTAAAGAACCTTGAGCAACATAGGAAAGCTAGACTTTCAGAAAAAAAAAGACAAATCTTCTTCACATATTAATTCAGACATAGCAGTTAAATGTTTCACATCATCATAAATGAAATAACCAAAGGGTTGATTATTTGCAAATCCTGATATATTTGCGTTTGTGTCCCCTTACCTTTAAGTTTCCGCGGGCCTTCAAATGCCTATGAGCGCCGTTGTATCCCATCGACGTCCCTAAGTTCAATACTTGCTTACAATGTTTGCAAGTTGCATACCACTTGTTGTCGGTCGGGTTCTTAACCTTATCAAACTTATCTACCATAATAAGAGATTTGGGGGTTTTACTGGGTTGGGATGAACCGACGCCTTGTTCCTCCTCCCCGTCGGGGGTTTCCTTGCTGCCTTGTTCCTCTTCATCTGCCGCCGGCTCCTCCTCCATCCCCTCCTCCTCCTCCTCCTCCTCCTCCTCCTCATCCTCCTCATCTTTGTCATTCCCAAGCTCTTCGTCAATCTCAGGAATGTCTTCTTGTTGATAAAATCGTCCATGTCCTTGGACCAACACTTGAGTCAGTTGCTCGTCGGACATATCTATGTGTTGGTAATCTGTATCAAAATCATCTCGACTTTGAGAAGAAGAACCAACATGTCATTTACCTTTGCCTCGTGTTGAAGGATGTTCTTTTGCAATTTCCTTCTTTCTG